TTAATCTGCTGTTAATCAACTGATCGGCCTTTCAAGCAAATGTTCTAAATATAAAAATGGAACTGGCTTAATCTTACACCCACGACACACAAAGAATAGGACAAAAAATTAGCATGAACTGAAAAAACTCTGACTTGAAACTCTGACTTTTGCAAATCGGGGTTTTAAAAAAAAACCCGATCAGCTATAGTGATTGACGTTTTCACAGTTTCTAGCATTTTTCCATGTGGTTCATCATGTAGATCAGAGCTGCAACAGCTCATCGGTTAGCTATCAAGCTATTAAGTTAATAAATTAACTATTTAAATAATCGATTTATCAGCTTGAGCAATTTTCTAAGGGAAAAAAGTCTGAATTCATTGATTGCAGCTTCTTACATATGAATATTATCTTGTTTTTTTGCACTTTTATGACAGTAAATTAAATATTTTTGGACAAAAAACACATTTGAGAATGGGATGTTTGGATTCGCACGTCATTTTTCACCATTTTCTGACGTCATTCATCAGTTTCAGCCCAACAGCAGCTGATTAAACTGGATTCTAGCTGCATCTGTGCACAGCTCCACTATCAGAAGCACAGAAATCAGTTTTAGCTGCAAAGAAAACCTACAAGTTTCACTGATCCTTGCATTATTCTTCCAACAAACCGCAGGGGAAGCTCCACTCGGAGCCGTTTAAATATCACATTTGTTTTGGTTCAACATGCTTCCACATGGGGGAGACATGCTCCTCCCTCCACCTCCAACACCCCTTTTTTTTCCTGTTTCTGGAAGGAGAGAAAAAAAAATGTAGAAATACATAAATATTTCCTCTTTGGGGAAGTCTTACAAAAATCCAGAGCTCTCCTTCTCAGAGAGACAAACACCAGGACTTCCAGAGGTGGCAGAGGGGAGAGAGAGAGGAGAAAGAAGAAGTTACTCCAAGAAAATAATGAGCTCAGACGTATAAAGTCCTCACTCCGCAACACCTCAGCTGTTTGTCAACTCTGCCATGGATTCGTCCTCCCAGAATTTACTCTGAGGGCCCAGCGAGGACGCAAAGCAGAGAGAAGCAGCGGCGGCGGACGGACGGACGGACGGACGGAGGAGGGAGAAAAGCAGTAAAACCTCGGCTGGAGTGAGGAGAAGCCAGTTTGTGTGGGTGAAGCAGAGGAGCAGCAGAGGCAGCGAGCGAAGGTGGGGGAGTGGAGGAGTGAGGCGCCCCGCTCTTCCAAAGTGAAGTAAAGAGGGGCAAGCAGGGGGAAAAGAAGAAGAAGAAGAAGTAGAAGAAGAAGAGGAGTGATAAAGACATGGGGCTCTGTGCTGTTCTGATCATCTGCCTCTCCCAGGCTGAGCTGGGCAGAGTCTGGGCTCAGGAGCGTCAAGGTAAGACCCCAAATGCTCTGTTTCTACACCATTTTGAGTGAATTTCTGCAGAACAGGCTGCATCTGGAAACCTCTGAAATATTATCTGACCTAAATTCTTTGCAAGAAAGTCTGGCAACGGCACGCTTCAAGTGTTCCTCCGTCTTTACTCCGTCAGTGAAATTCAGCGTGCAGGCATTTATATGAGGATGCAATTAAAAAAACCAACAAATGCAAATCATGTGATGCTTGAGTGCAGCCACATTATTTGCTGCAGGTGGAAAAAAAACTCGCTCGCAAACTTTCCTGCATCTTGTCTCCAGCTGATGTTCGGCGCATCACCTGCACACGTTCAGCTTTTCTGCCAAGCCGTCTGTGCATGTATGTATTTTGGTTCTCCTTGGAGATGCATTATTTTTAGCCAGCCCCCGTTCTTCTGCTGCCGCTCCTCCTCCGACAATCAGCGCTGCTCCACTTTCTCTGGCCTCTCCTGTGGTCCCAGTTCCTCTGATCGGGGGCCTAACGCTGCAGAGGACGACCCGACACACTGCGACGCGTCCCTCCCAACACAAATCCACGATTATCTTCACCACAAAAAAAAAAAAAAACACTCAGGAGCTTCACCTCTGTGCAGCAGAATCCCCACATTGGCTCCCTTTTAACTTAATGGCTTCACATTAGTGTTTTTTTTTTTCTTGACAGCAGAAAGTGGAGCAGCTAAACAGGTAGCACTGGGAGCTCGGTATCAGTCACTTTGATTGGAGCGAGCGTCTGACTGACGGCGGGTCGAGCCAAATCTCTTTCACAGAGCAGCTCGTGCTCCGGTTACGTAAAAAAAAGAAGAAAAAAAAATCGGCTGCCCCCGTTTTTCTCAGAGGTCAGGACCGTCTGCACATCTGATCGGAAATTCAGTTGCAAAGTTCATCGAAGTTGATTCAGAGCGCATGAGTTGAAGTGAAGAGATTTAACTGGAATTAGCTGATTTTCATTTGAAAGTAGGCGTTAAGAAGGGCGTGAACTGAAATCAAGAATGCAACCGATGCACGAAAGCGCGTAAGACTGTATGTCTCCGTGCCTTCAATCCATTCTACAGCCGTCTTTGTATCGTACATACTGTTGCATGCAGCATGTGACCTCAGAAAAGTCTGCTGGTTTACATGCAAAACGCCGCCGGATGTAGTCGGACACCAGGCAGGTAGTTCAGGCAAGTTGCATTCGGCATACATGTGTTGGGCAGAAAACCCAGAATCGGGATTGAATCAGAAGATGAAGAGTCCATTTGCAAAAACAGATTTTTGTAGATTTTCAGAAATTTTTTTGTTGTTGTTTGCTTGAGATAAAATCAATCGAACTGGAGTTAAGTGGATTTGACTCAGTAGAAATGACAAAAGTAGAGATAACTTAAGTTTGATTGATGTCTCAGGTAGACGATGGAAAAGTTCTGAAGGTTTGTGAAGATGGAGTTCTCTGTTTCTGCTTCGAATATAAAATTAGTAACAACAACCAACTCAGATTACATTTGAAGGAAATCAGACCACAGCTACATTGACTTCTCCTCTTGGGTTGCCAGGTTTGCTAACGGAGACTTAACTAGTATTTGTCTTATAAAGTCATCCGTACGTGACCTCCTGTGTGACGCATTGTTTGCACGTGTAGGTACGTACACGAGAAAGAACTGAGAGGCAACATGTGGAGCTGCACGAAAACAAAAAACAAACCTTGATCAACCGCCTCTTAACCATCCGACTGATTGTTGTTTCTAAACTAACCAAATGTTCCACCTGCAAAGTCTACACGCAGCTTTTTGAACAGCGAGGCGACAAACTAAAGGATCCACTCCACTTTAAAGTTATGTTCATGGGTTAATCCTGGAAGGCTGCGGATGTAGAACCTCTCACCGGAGACTCTCTGAGCAAATCAACCAACCAGTCGACTGCACTGATCAACCAACAAGGCCGGAGTGGAGCAGCAGACTAATGCCTCTGGTGGTTGCTCTTCTACAAGGGGATTATCATCAGTGTTATTGTTCTCGCCAAAGGAAACAAGTAACTGAGTGCAGCTGCCAAATGTAAAGCTGAACCTCAAAAGCAACAGATGTGAGGCTTCAGTCGCTGCAGTTTACGGGAACCTCGGTGTTTAAAACGAGAAATGAAGTGTGTTTCCACTGATAGCCACGTGCACTTTGAAATAACCACAATAATGTGTGAAATGACCGCAGACAGAAACCTTAAACACGGCCTCATCACACGTCACCAAAACTGGAAAACCGGCTCCAAAGAGAAAATACCTGAACTCTGATCGATTCGTCCAAACTGATCAAAACAGCACATTTCCCTCCGTCCTCCTCGGCTCCTTATCAGTCCAGCTGCCAGTGTTTGTGATCGTGTGTTGTGGTTACTGCTGTTCCCGAGGATCAGGTGCCAAATGGCTCCCTCCCACGCCATAAGCTCCGGGCTGGTTTTAACACACATCATCCAAACACAATAAAACCACCGCGCCGACACAGCTAGCGGTGACCTCGCGAAGTGATTACTGCTCCACTAACGGCTCCCGTTGCCAGAAACCTGCAGGTGCTTCGCTGGTCCCCGTCCTGACAGAACCGCCGGGTCTCGTCTGAGCGCTGCAGGGTCGAGGTTTGCTTTTTATCTTGAGATTCAATCAGGTCTCTTCTGCTGTGTTTGGACGCCGCACAATGGCTTCGCTCTGTTCAGCGCGTCCACCTCTGGAGCAAAGATGTTTTGTTCTCTTCTGCCTCGATGTGTCCTCGCTTCAAAACTTTGCTCGTTGACAGAGGAACAGATTACTTTCAGGGGAAGTTGGCTGGACTGGATCCATCTGAACACACTGGAAGGCCATTGAGCTTTTGTCTCGGTTGAGCAACTTGGCTCCGGCTTTTTATCTGAGTCCGCCTTCAGCTGCTGTTGCCTGTTTGTGCTTCTTAAACGTGTCGAGCAAAACGATAAATATCAATAAATAGCCGCAATTTTGCAGAATGTTAAAAGGCCGCCGCACTACTGTGCGTTTCTGGGAAAAGAAATAGAGAGGAGGAGATCAGGGGAATAGGAAACAGGCGCGTGGGACACGATAATGGGATGAATGAACACAGGCTGTATATCCATAGAGCCTGTATAAGGCTGTGTCCTAGTTTGATGTGACTCCCAACACCCACAAGGTGGTTGCTGCAATGCAGACACATCTGAGGAGGCAGAAACAATGAATTAGGGCCGCAGCTAATGATTATCTAGTCATCAAATCAGTTGTTTTGGTCTATAATGTTAAAAAAACAATGTGTTTCCCAAAGATGATACTTGTAGGTGTCTTTTGTTGAGTTTCAGTTTATTGTCAGAGAGAATTTTGACTTTTTTTCCCTTAAAAATGAACCAATGAATCACCTCAAAACACCTGATGTGCATTTGTTAATCAAACAAAACAAGGGTTTCACTCAATGCTCCACACATGTTGGACTAACGGGCAGGAAATCCGTCTTTCTGCAGACGCATGGATGCGGAGTGACACCATAATGGCAGGAATCATCTAAATTTAGAGGTCTGTCAGAATCCCTTTCATGCATGTTTGCAGTGAATCCATTCAGCGCTCACCAGCCAATTCGTCACATCTGTCACCTTGGGAGTTGTGGGCCCTCTTTCAAACCTCACCCGCGTGTTTTTTTTCTGCACCACTTTGCACATTCCCAGTGCAGCGTCCACATGCACATGTGTCTGCCAGATCCGACGCTACCGAGGTCGGCTCCGCTCATGTCCTTACGCGAAGCCCGGCCCCCTCTTGAACTCTTCTTAGCCCCGTTTCGTTGGAAGTTCATCCAGGGCCCACATGCAGGCAGTTAGACAAGGTTAGAGATGTTCCAGGAAAGAAAACAACAAGTTCGACACAGAGGAAGTTTGTAGAGCAAAAAAAAAAAAAGCTAAAAAGTGAGTTTAACGGCTGCAGACGTGGTGCTTGTTGTTCCTCCTGCTCGGCGCTTCCTCGTCTTTGTTCGACGCCTCCTCAGCTGTTTGGTGATGATGATGATGATGAGAGTCAATCTGACCCAATTAGGCGCCTCTTGTTCTGAAGCTGTGGAAATAGCTTCCACTGCACCGTAATCAAACAAGATTCCTCATTAGAGCGATCTCCCCTGAGTTTGTGATAACCTCCCTGCGTTTCACTCTCCTGTCCCATTTTGCCTCTTAAGACGTTTTTTTCCATCGTCTCCTTGTCTCCGTGTTTTATCTCCCTAACAAAAGAAAATGTCACTTTGCATCATGTTTATGCATCAATATAAGCTGTTGCTGTCTTATCTCACAGCAAGAGGAAGTCAGTGCATCCGGCCAAGATATACTGAACCTATAAGCTAGTGTGAAACCATGACTTGCTGTGCATGTGTGGTTTCTGCACCAAGATGCGACACGTTGATTAAAATGCATTTAAGATGCTGATAGACAGATTTTATCATCTGTGGGTCAGAGTTCAGTCGTTACGCTAGGCTAACAGAAGATAAGCCTTTCTTAATGGAGAATTTTGCATGTTAGTGCAGCAAAGGGGAAAACGTAAAAATAAAACATGAATAAGAAATATGCTTAAGTGAGCTAACCAGCTGCTAGCACGACAAGCTTCATGAGTAATACTGATCTAGTCGTCTAAGTCTTTGCAAGAGAGCAAAAAAAGGATATTTCCAAAAACTACTTCACTGTTCTGTTAACCATGTGACCACCGGCAGGCTTGAAAGGCATGTTTAAAAAAAAATAAATAAAGAAATCACCATTTATTGGAGCCAGAAAAGGTAAAAATAGAAAAAAATCGTCCAATTTTCTGACGGTCCTTCATCAAAATCACCTGAACCAATGTGTTCCACCCAAAATAAACCGTTTGCACCAGAACTTAACAATGATTCAGAGGGTTTTGAGATGAACTGCAGGCAGTGTTTCCACACAGCGAAGAAGCAGTTGACAAACTGTTTGAGCAATAAAATGAACGCAGCGCGGCTTAGAAACGCTACACAGCAAACAGGAAGTGGCTGGAAGATGGTGAAACATCTGCAGAGTCGAGTGGAAACAGCCCAGCTAGTGGACGCTGCAACCTGCCTGGTCAAACAGCCTCCATAGCAGGGTGATGTTTCCAATTAGTGGATCTCCAACAGCTTGTTCTACACAAGTCCGTTAATGATCCATTAATGTGAGTCGGGTGTGTTGCAGTACGGAAACGTCAGTAGCTCATGAGGACCAGAGTTGGAGATAACTGCTCTATAGCATGCAGTGCCACCATTTTTTCCAGTATTTGTAACACCTTTGGGCACTTTCTTTCAATTTTTGCCTGATAGATAATCTAAAATTTGGGGGTTTCTTTTCGTTGAGCTGTTTCCATAGAGGTACACGACTTTATGTTGCAGTGAAAAATTAGCTCATAGTGAGGAAAAAGGAGCAGAAACTGCTTTGAGTCCAGGGGTATGAGCTTATATGAGCAGTCCAAACAGTCCAAATAGCCCATATCCAACAATATGCAGCTATATTTAGATGACATTTATGTTTTAACACAAAGGAAACAAACCACACTTTGGTCCAAACACCAAAACATTTCGTCTATATTGTGCGTTACTGTTAAATGTATTCCAAAGTTCAGGGTGTTTACTCCTCCGCACACCAATAGCTATTGTCTGAAATCTCATCGAATGTGGCGGCTTCAACCAGAACAAACAGACCAAAGCAAACCAATAAAAATATCTCAAAACCGAAACGAGAAGAAAGCATGTGGACATGACTGATGGTGTCTACATATTTCTGGTCATATGTAGTAAACACATTTTAAAAAATGAGGAGGGAAGTGAACCTCGGGCTCGTCTTTCCCTCCTCCGGCTCAAGATGTTCATAACACGCTGTTACTTAATAGCTCATTTCAACGAACTAACGGCCCACATAAAATCCAGACACAAAGCTGGACTGGGTCCCCTGGTTTAAGTAGGAAAAAAAAAAAAGGAGTGGAGAGCCTCATCCAGCCAGCGAGTTCTGCTGATGGCGCGACCAAAAACGCTGGAGTCGAGGATCAGTTGAAAAAATATACACATCCATGTGCGATCTGTTGAGCAGATGTCGCCAAAGCCCACACGAACGTAGGTGGTCAGCAGAGATGGGAATAGCTGAAGATGCACTCGCAAACACAGGGATGGCTGGACCAACCCTAACCCTGGATACACATGTGCAGTTGCTTCACAATTAGTTCCTAAGCAGCCAACACACACACACCTACACACACACACACACACTACATACCACACACACACACAAACGCCACATCATCGCTTTAAAATGCAGAAATTAAAATGGATTCATGACACCGTTTCTGCATGACAGATGTAAAGATCCTCCAAACGTGGGTCTCGTTTTCTGTGGACATGTACGCCGGTTTATGATCCAAATCATGGCAGCCGATAAAACCAAATGTAACCACAAGGTAGACGAGAAAAACTGTCTAAGGTCCTATTAAAAGCAACATCTTATGAGATTTTAAAATTTAGGAAAAATTCAATTATGTTTGTCTCCAAAGCAGCCAAAGAAAAGTTTAACCCTCTGAGCGATTACATTTAATTGCCAAAATTACACCATTTATCACAGCAAGAAACTGTAAAAACACAAAAAATAATCAGATTTTTATCTTTCCAACGACAGTCAAACAAATCATGTGCAGCGTTCAGTTTCTTTGGAAAAATTAAACAACTCTAACCTAAAAAACATGACATATTGGATCAAAATCACTTTATTCTCACAAATAAATTAGGAAACCTCTGAATAACATTACTCGGTGGGCTTAAACGGCATGTTGTTGTTTTTAAATCACCAAAATAATCTGATTTATCACAGCAAAGCACTGCAAAAACAGAAAGAGTCATCAGAGTTTAGTCAAAGAAAATGAACCATAATCCAGACTAAATCTTGACATTTCAATCATTTATTCTTCATGGTTAAAAATCCGCCAAAAACAGACCGTTTGGAGGAGCCACATTCTGCCAAAAACAAAAAATTCTGCACTCCTTACTGCAACTGTGAAGCCATTAGTGACTCAGCTGTGATCAGCAGTCACGTGACTAAAATTCAGGGACTTTTCAACTGAACAGGCAGCGTTTACACAGTGCAGAGAGGAGACAAAGGATAGAAACAAATGTAAAATGTAAGTAGTTTAATATCCAGAGTAAGTTGTTTTTTTTCTGTATTTTAATAGCTTTAGGGCACTTGGAAAAACGTTAAACAAGCAGAGTCCAGGATTTTTTGTTTTTTGTAAAATAAATAATTAAAGAAATTGAAGTTTTGTTTTTCCCTTTTTGTTTGTTTCCCTCATTATAACTGCACAAAGCACATCTCTGAGTTCTCCCTCCCTCTAATCCTGGTTGTTCTGTTTCCATAGACTTTACATTACAATGAAAACTGAGCCCACAGTGAGAGGAGTAAAAAAAAAAAAAAAAACACCCACAAACTGCTTGGAGTTCAGAGGGTTAATCAGTAAAAGTCTGGCATTTAGAGTTTGTTGCTTTATTAGTTGAACTCAGCGGGCCTCAAATTGATGGTCAATAACAGGTGAAGAGTTACGAGACAAGAGAAATCCTCTCGACCCTCAAGAGTTCAAGAAACATTCGTCTTTCCCTGTAGGCTCTGCATGCGCATTCAGTCACCACAATGCCCGTCTTGTTCTAGATGCTCGGACCGACCTGCGGACAGACGGAGACCCGTCCGGTTTCCACAGAACCAGGAGAGACCAGCAGATCCCACAAGAACACAGAGAAGCTCGCGACACACAGGCCGAAGGAGGAGGAGGAGGAGGAGTCGACATCAGCACCCTGCCGGACAACATGACTCGTATCGTGGTGAGACGCTTGAAACTTGAAATCATTTCCTCTATCTATTGTGTGTAACGTGTGTGAGCTACTGGATGCCTTAAATTAGAAATATATCAACCATGAAGGCAGAAGATGAGGTACACAGAGTTACAAAAACATCTCTGAAGGTTAGGGATTAAAAATGTGGAGCAATTACATCAACCCATGTGCTGACGTAGCTGCTTTAAATGCTTTATTAGACGATATGAGCTGTTCTAATAACATAAACGATCAGACACCGGACCACAGGAGCGCTAGCATAGCACGCTTTAGCTCATCTACTAAAGAAGAGGTGCGCATTAAGCGTCACAGGAGACTTTGTCATGGTGGCCCTTTACTAGCTAAACTCCCATAATGCCCTTTGCTTGCCAAATGCTCGTAATCCAAGTGACCACCACCTTGGTTGCGACAGTACTAAAGAGTAAAAACGCCCTCTGGGTGGCGTAACCAGCTACTACTACACATCTTCCGCCTTACTGGTCATTTTAATTGGTTAAATTATGAAGAGAAATAAATCTAATAACCAATAATCACTAGCATCCCGAGTAGATTAGCTGTAGTACCTGGTTGTACCACCAGGTGGAGCCTTTTGTGGCGTAATGAGATGGAGTTACAGGTGTGTTTGCAACCACCCCACCCATGAGGGTCAATAAAACAGTAACTCCCTCCCTGCTGTCTAACTGCTGTCATGTTGATGAATTCTGCAGCCGTCTGGTTCAGCTAGCTCCCCGAGGCTCATGCTAACGCTAAGCTAGGGTTGTCAAACGTCAACACAACCAGCAGCTGAGCGTCTGTCAGCGGAGAACATTCAGGAGCAGCAGGACTCTGATTACAAGCTTCAAACAACACTCAAGCGATGAAGTGTGGCGGCGACGCGCTGCTCCGAGTATAAATCCATTTTAAGGGCTGACAGATTTCCTGGACTGACGAAGCTGCTGCGACAGTATTTGCAGACATCTGTTCGAGTTGAGCAGCTGTTTCCAGCAGCTGGATTAACTACAATCAGTCCATCATGCAGATCAGGTACAACCATGACAATGGTGGTGAAGACTCCCATGATCTCACACCACATCTTCTGTTACTGTTTTGATTGAGAGGCGCCTCGCAGACCAGATTACATGCTGAAAAATGTAATTCGGTCTCTGTGAAAACACTGAATGCTGCTAACTGAAGATGACATAACGGGGGCTTCCCTCTCGTCTGGTTATTTTGGGAAAAACAAAACATTACAACCGACCAGAAATCAGCAAAAGCTCACCAAACAAAGCGACGCCAGAAGGTATTTATAAGGTGGATGAGACTGAACCTGAGTCTGCATGTGTTGGGATGCTGTGAGGTAGGAGGTTGCTGATTTGATTCCCACATGTCCACGGGCCAAAAAAACAAACCTGAAGGTCAGGCTAGTACCTTGAACAGTGGCTTGCTGCCGTCTGTGTGTAACTGAGTGTATGAATGGGTGTAAACTGTTAAAAAAGCAACACGAATGCAGACACTTGTTGTAATAACAGAAAGCAGAAAGGTCAAACTCTGCTCTGCCAAGCTGCACAAAGTAAAGGTCGAGTCGAAGGTGGAGCTGGAAGCACAAAGCCGTCGCCCTGTGCCATTTTCCATTCACTACCGCTGAGCAGTGTGTGTCTGAGTGCGTACGCTGAGGCTTCGTCCTGTCTTGTGTCCTGACTCGTCTACAGTAAAATTCAACCCAAATAAATTGTGTTGTAGGTTTTTTTGTTTTTTTTCTCCCCTCTCTACGACTCAAATTGAAAACAGACGACGTCCTCGTCCTGCCAACTTACAGTGTTTGTTTGAGCGCGAGTGCGTGCGTGTGCATGTGCGCGTGCACTCGCGAATGACTCACTTGGACAAGATCACAAGTAGCCCTGTTGTACTGCTGCTGTGGCTCTTTTTAAAGGGGAGGTCTGATCCCAATTTCCAGCAACCTCCACCTCTTGTCCAACCGGAATCTCTTCAATAAATCAGTCAGCTGTGAGGGGAAACTGAGCGACTATTCTGCTCACCTAGAAATCCCTCCACACCCACCCACCCACCCACCTCCAGAAAATACAGGCTGGTGTCAGGCAGTGAAGATGGAGGAAAAAAGTGGGTCACTTGCTGTATATGGAGCAGCCGGAGAGGTTGTGAGAGCGCTGCATTTAACTGCTCCACTTTCTGAGCCCACACTAAACCCCAGAACCATTGCTCTCTGTCACCTTCAACTGTGGCATACATTAATAACGCCATCAAGACTGGAGATGTGAGCGGAGACGCCAGCGCTTGTTGTCAACGCCGTAGCGTGTAAACAGCTCCCCCCAGTGGAGCTCAGTGCGCAGAACTGGGAATAACCAATCAACCAATCCCCCGATGTCCTCAGGAGGTTTTTCCCAACAAGCTCATGTGTCCTTTAGACCTCTTTTTGCAGGTTTTGCGACATGTGAGCGTTGCCCTCCGAAGGTAAACTGATTTAAACCTTTTGCACACAAAAAGTCCATGTAGGATGATGTTTTTTTTTTACCTTATGACTCTTTGAGGCGTGTCAACGTCGAGTGATGAGACCCAGCAGTCCATCGATCGACCCTGATACTCTGGTTCATGCTTCACACGCGTCGTGACAAACTGTCTGGAAAAAATAAATCAAATGTTCTACTCAGTGTATTATTAATACCATGCAATGATTTCACGATGACATTGATGAAATGAATCTGCATCTGAACGAGACTCATCTGTCGTTAATCTATTAGAAACAAGTGAAATCTCCTCAAAGACAATAATACCTGTGTTCATCAAGCACCTTCTAAAAACAGAGTTTATGATGTGCTTTGACAGATGAACCTAAACAAGGAGCCGCTCAGTAAGACAACATTAAAACAGAAAGCTAACCTGATCTCCTCGTGGTCCAGACTGCACACACCTTTAGTTTTCAGCCGACTCCTGGAACAGACAAGAGGTCTTTGAAAAAGGATGTCAAAGTGTTCACGGGTGTGTATAAGACTAACAAGTCAGAACCAGAACTTGGACCTTAAAGGTAATCTGTAGAATCTTAAAACCCATCCTAAAACATACTTAAACATGTCAAGTTTATACATTTCAAGCTTTTCATTTTAAGTTGTTAAAATAAGAGTTCATAGGAGGTGTTCTGATAATAACATGTCTGCTAGTTACGTTGCAGTATTGGTTGGTTTCCTCGAAGCATTCAGCCATGAAGCCCTTGTGTCCATATCGCGTGTTTCTCTTGCAGTTTTAATTCTACGACAACATCTTGACAACATAGCGCCGTAGGACAACACACAAGACCGATAACTTCTGTCTGATGTATAGTACGAATGGAACAAGCTTCTTCTTGGTTTGCTTGGTTTCTGGGGCACCAGTCGTAAGAGGCGACATAAACTTTGTGCTCGCTAGAAACTACAAAAGAAAAAAAAAAAAGGCACAATGGACACTCGTAAATATTTGGGTCTAAATGACCGCCTCTTTCTCCCAGGAGGACTCCCAGAGGTACTACAGATGGCAGAGCTTTGGTCCAACAGACAGACGGACTGAAGACTTGTGGGTGGATCTGAACAACCTGCACAAGAGCCAAGTCCGAATCCACGGCATCCTGTCCAACACGCACCGACAGGCAGCGGTAAAGCCACCGTTCACACGTATACGAGCAAAAATAGCTGACTTACACACAACTATGTGGAATATTTCTTCTGTTTTTCAGAGGGTGGCGCTGTCCTTTGACTTCCCATTCTACGGACACTACCTGAGACAAATTATTGTGGCAACTGGAGGTGAGTTTCCCTCTACATCATCTGATTTCGATCTACTTTACCCTCCAATTTAAAGCCTAAATGTCTACAAGTGTGTTGAAGGAGACTTTGTCCTTCCCCCGGGGGAATACTCAGGCTTACCAGGCTATAAGAAACCTAATTAATTGTAAACGCTTTCATTTTTAATCTGTTTTAATTGCTTACAGCCTTACTGTAAATGTCCTAAATCCCAATTTCTTTATCTAAAGGAAATGTGCTTTAATTCTCTAAAGCCCCCAAAACTGGTTGTCAGGGTTAAAAAGGCAGTTTTTCTGTTTTAAAAAAAAAAGCATAAAAATCACCCAAATTAGTGCAAAAACAAGAAAAAACCATCAGATTTTCAGCTTTGCTTGAACAAATCGTGTGTGACGTCGAGCTCTATCAGGAAAAATAACCAACTTTAAAACATGAAATTGTGATATTTCATTTTTTTTTTAAAAAAAGACAGTTTGCACCAGATTCCAGCACAAAAATTATGTTCTCCTCTTTGAAAATGCTTTAGATGGAAACAACAATCACATTAAATAAGAACTGAAAGAGCATTTGGGTGAACCACAGGCTGAGAGGACGAGAGATTAAAAGGAAACTTACTGGT